GGCAGAGCGTATGAATCGAGCGTGTGTGAGAGACGGTTTCGTAATCATCCGCCGTTCAACGTACTTAATCGCGAGCTGAACGGTTAAATATAACATTGAACTTGTTCGAGGTCACCGTCAGGTATTCAGAAGCTATCTCATAACGTGTGTATTAGTGGGAGGCTCGAGAAAGGACAAGACACGTTGAAAACATCGTTTCTCTTTCAACTTCTCCACGGATTACATTACGGGGCCAAATATTGGAGCACCAGCCGAACTGTTTAACTTACGCGATTGTACGTTCGAACGTCGAGTAGGTTTTGCTCTTCGTTCGGCATACTAGGCCGTCAGTAACCGGACAACGACTATGGGAGCTTTGTTAATCCGAAAAGCGGCTTAGAGTAAACGCGAAGCCGATTCCGACGAAAGGCGAGGTTTCCGACTTCCGTCGTATGTACTTTGCGCTGGGCGTTGTTATTTTGTTAGAGAACAATATTCCGGAAGAATAGCTTCGCTTAACATTACTCGGCGTATCGGCAATGCAACTACGTCTATTAGGCAATAATTACAAAGTCGTCACTTTTAGAAAGTGGTTATTAAAATACTTTAAAAAGTGGTATAATATTATGTACGGGAAGATAAACAATTGTTCACAGAAAATCTAATAAAACAAGTATATAATGATAAAAAATATATAATATACGAAAAATTATAAGATACGATAAGACAAAATAAAAAATAATAACTTGTTTCTTAATTTTTTATCTAATTATTTTTATGACAAAAATGAAAAAAAAAACTAAGTATATAAACTATTTCTATACTATATTTAGATGACATTCACGGCCAAGGTACATAAATTGCAGTAAAGAAGCATGGAAAAAAGTTAATTTATGGGGGAATAAAATTGAATCTTTGTGCAAAAATTGTTTTTCCAACACAATCCGGATTTTTAAGGTCAAATGGTAGGAATGCTATTATCATTAATTTGTGTATCCTTGGCGGCAAGCAATTCTGAAATTTCATATTAGCATTTTATTTGCATTTATGTAATGTTAGGTATTACGTATCGCACCACGTCTAAGGATGTCTAATCGCTTCCGCGATAGCAATCATTAGTTTACCTTGTATAATCTTATTCGCAATTGATTTGAATATTGATATCGTATTTGTAAATCGCATGTTATATATATTAATAAATGTTTATTACATATTACATATTGATACATTTAACTTGTACCGAGAATTAAAAGATAAAAATAAGATACAATTTATTGCTTAATTCTCGTAACTTATTTCTCGTTGTTAAAAAACTTTTAACACGGTTTCTCTTCCTTCGGACATTTGCTTATAGGAACGCATGGACCGTCATCGCCACCGTATCGCGCATATCCTTCTTTGCAGTAACAAGCATCGTTACATTTCTAAAAAAAAGGTATTAAAAATAACATATTGACTAGAAATATAAAGTGGTATATTAAAATATTAAAATTTTATAAAATTTTTTAATTTGTAATGTGCATTGATTGCGAAATAAAAATCTAATATAGTGCATTGAAGGAAGATTTATGTATTTATAAAATATTATAAGTTCCTCAAAAGCTTTCTGATGTGTAACACACACACACACACACACACACAATTATCTTCTAAAGATTAAAATTAAAAAAAAATTATCGACACACAAAGAAAATACTTATATATACTCACAATATTTAGTATAGGGCACGGTTTGTCAAAGTTACAGCAAGTTGTTTGACAAGCTGATCCACATGCATATTCTTCATTTTCGCGATTACAAGAAATCTTACCTCCAAACGTATCTGAAAACGGTGAAATATTTTAAATATGCCGTTACATTTAGCACGTTGAAAAAACTGTAATTGCTTGATAAATATTTATATGTCACTAATACAATGTTACATAAATTGCATTAACTTACCTTTTCTCAGATTTATATTTCATAAATCATACAATAAAAACGGCCACAAAAAAGTGTTTGGTATTAATTTACATTATATTGGCACTTTTGTATCAAATAGATGAAGAGATTAATCATTTGAATTAATTATATATACTTACTTGCAGCAAGTAATGTTACTGCCACGAGTGATATGATCATCGCGCGATGCATTATAAAGATTTTTCCAACTGCGCACAATTCACACCTCCGGTTAATTTGCAACTGACACAACTTTGTCGTTTCCAATATCTTATATACAAAGCCAGTTGAAAACTCCATGATAAAATACGTATTATTATATTGTCAAAGTGAAAAGAATATGAATACACGAAGAATATGCATTTAAAATTATAATATTTTAAGGTTACTATTTACATATATGTTCTTTCTTCTCGTGCTTAAAGCGGCAAAGAAATTATTCGAAGACAATTTCGCATCTGCATAAACACTCAGTTTATGCAGTTTATGCAAAAATACTGAATTTGCATCGCATTGAATAAACGATGGAATAATAATGTACGGAAATGTCTTTCTTTTTTGGCCAATTTAGCTGTTCTTGTATCGTATAATATACAATCAGGGAAATCCAAACTAAAATTATCGCTTGTCTAATAACTTGTACTTCCCCGTGTCATAATAATACATAACATCTTCCTGGAAGTCAGAGAATCACTATGTGTGTATGGAATTATGTCACGCGGTCGTTGTTTTTTACTTTTATTTTTAGCAGATACAGACAGTGCGAGGAAATAATACGCGAGTTGTTATCAATCATCTAGACTGGTAAATTACACATCGTACGTGATCATATAGCATCACTGCAATTATATCACTTTAAGCCCATCTTTAATGTTATTTATATTTCGCTTATTTCAGTCGTGTGTGTGACCCATGATTCATATTTTATAATAGACTTTCTTCCTTTATATATGTTTGATGTTTTTATATTAGTCATTTGTAAAATTTAAATAACTTTTAAAGAGAGAAAAGGATTATTAGTAAATAAAAAAGTTTCATAACTGTACGACAAAGGAATCAAATTATAATAAATCAAATTATAATAGTAAGAAAATACACTAATAAAATTTGTAAACAACTTTATATGATTTATAAGATATTACTATTATACAAGATATATCGCGTATTAATGCAGAATAAATTTATTGGCATACGCATTCCATTACTTATGACATATTCCACTCGTATAAAATAAAATACGTTTTCTATTCTAATGAAATATCGAAGGATGTTAAATGAATTGATGGAGCCCATAAAAGAGTAAACAACAAAAATAGTAATTTCAAAAATCACATGCATAATTAAAAGTAAATATAAATCATTAAATAACAGAAACTTGAGTAGAGATATTCCAGATATACATTTTTTTCTCGATTACATTTGGAATCAACTCTAATAATCTCTATGCCTTTATAACCAAGTTTAAACGTCAGAAATGAAAGAAAATAAATTCTTATTTTGTATATATAATCGGTGAAAATAATTTATTTGGAATATATTTAAAAACATATATGTAGGTATAGCGCTCGTTGGATTGCGGTCAGTGAAGTCACGATGGGGTTAGTGGGGCAGAGATTGTGACAGTTATCGACTGTTCGCTGCTCGATACAAAGGTTGGACGGCGTAACAAGGGCGAGGTAGGGCGTAGGGTGAGAAAAGTACGAGGGCTAACCGGAAAGCGAAGGAAAGGCCGAACGGCGGGGAATCTCGAGAACCCTCAATCGAGTTTTCCGCTGTCAGAGTCGCATGGTGATGCGTCGTGAAATGCTGAATAGGACGGTTGAGACAATGAAAATGGAACGTGGAACAATTACACGCCGAGTTTTCCAAGTAATTAAGTCGTCGGCCCGCTATCCTAGGAAAACGATTCGTTTGTGCGACTCGCGCGTCTTCAAATTCTCACCTCAGACATCCTCGAGAAGACAGTTGGCAATCGGCAGCTTTCGTCACTTTAGATAAGAATTAACATGCATTTAAATTCTTCCGCAATTCTCACGAACATTGTGCCAGGCTTAATGTAAACAAGTAAAAAAACCCCCGTTATTTACATTACAATTAGCGATGTTTGTAGAGCAATGTACATCGCAGGTGATGACATTTTATGACTCTTCAACGAATGAGTCATTGCAATAAATTATTTCGGCTGCTATAATTCAAGAAAAAAAATGCCCGAACTAAAAGCAAGCTGTACGCGCAGAAAATAATTCAATTCCCTATCGTAATAAATTCAATTCGAATCGTCGGATATTCGATTCTCGGCGCTCTTTACGCGAAATAAAAAAAACTATGTGCCGGGAAAACGAAGGGAAGCAGAAGGGTCAGCCTGATTCACTTGGCGATGGCGAAATGGCATTTAGGGTAAAAGCGTATTCGGGAAGCGGTCGGATTGACCGTCGAGTTTACGCTGACAAAGTTGGCGCGACGCACACGTTTCGCAAGCTCGGAATTTCACAACTGATTGGACGACAGCCGTCCTTCTTCCTTGCTTCGTTTTAATTCTCATTAATTGCTACACATAAATAATCTTCAGCGATTCAATTCGATAAGTTTATGTAAGACTTTGCAATTCTTTGATTGATTTTTAATCGTTAGTAAAAAATTTACGAGCAGAAAAACACAATACGATTATACAATACCAATATATACAAATAAAAAAGATAATATGTAGGAAATAATAAATTAGACACGCACCGAGAACTACTGCGGAAAATATTAATATTAATGTAAAAATTTTAGAGATAAAAATACATTGAAAATTAAAATATATGAAAATACGTGTAAAAATATGTGAAAATAAGCACCAATGATCGTTATCAATGAGAAACTTTATTATCGATGTTATACTATGTTCAAACACGCGTTGAGGCGTGTCGGAATGCATTTTTTTATTAATATTATGTTAGCATTAGGAAACTGAATTTTTTTTGTGAGCATGCATATGAAGATATTGACGTAATAGATTAGATACTGAATAATTTTCCGTGTCGCTGCAACTGGTGATCAAGGTTTGCTAACAAAGTGGATGGTATATATAAAAGCGTGCTTGCAGCTCGCGGATAGTAGTCTCAGTCGAGAAGTAAAGTGTTAGACCATTAACGATGTCTCGCGCTATTTTCGCATTGTTCGTGATCGGAGTGCTTTTCAGTAAGTTTTCGCACATTGCGCAATTATACTACGTTTATTCAATTCGAGATTAATTTACCGAAAACCGCGTGAATAATTTTACTATATATATATACACATTTTATTTCTAATCGTAATTCTAATATTGTAATTAGTTGTGTTATAATTCGTCTAACATTGCATATATATCCAGGCATGACTACTGCCCAGCAGTGCCCAGCAAATCAGGAATGGAACCCTTGCGGATCAGCATGTCCACCATCATGTAATTTGTCGCCCCATCGACCTTGCACATTGGTATTTATCAATTTATTTAATCAATTTTGTTAAATGTGCGAGTCAAGAGTCTTACTCTTCTTAAATAAACATTGCTTATTATGTAATGAGCAATTTAATCCATATTTTACGATTCTCTTTTCAGCAATGCGTACCAGGATGTCATTGCAAAGAAGGACTCTTACTCAATGCTAATGGACAATGCGTGTCTCCTCAGAATTGCTAAAGATTAACCAATGTATCTGCTTAAGGAACAACCAATTATGTTAACATTTTAAGATTCTCATAAAAATTTGAACAAAAAAGTAACTTTGTAAACCATACCAGTGAATATACGAATATATTAATTGTAATTAGATGTAGTTGTTCGTTTACGCACTTGTTACTTAATGACAATAAATAGTTAATTAAAATTATTAAAACAAATATTAATTTTACTACTAATATTCTATTAGATATCTATATTTTTCAAATGTTTTTTCTTTCCCAAGTAATTAAAAATAAAAATTAAAACATTACCTTTGCCAATCTTTTTTTATATCCATCATAAAAACATTTTGGAATCTTTATATATATTTATAAATCTATGATCAATAAATGTTATTGTATCTCAAAAATAAATTGAGTAAATTTTTGCGTTAGATTTTTTATATTGCAATAATGAATAATCTTTTTCTCTTTTCCTTCGTATTTTTTGATCTAATTTTTATTAATATATTAATAAAGTATTCAACTTACATGTTAATCTTGCAATTTAAATTAATACGTACGTACATGCTAAGATTGCATAGCTACATTCTTTCAAAACATTAATATAAAGCTATCTTTTTGCCATCATGAGTTATTTTAACGACAAAAAATTATCGTTGCAGTAAATCACTTGATTTTACGAACTTCTGTCAATAATATTGTATAAATGTGATTTAAACTAGACAGGCGTGTAGATAACACAAATAAGTTTTACAAATATAATTCAAATATTTAAATATAATAAATATAAAATTACGCAAAGTCGATAAGAAAAATACTTATACATAAATGCAAACCAATCAACGAGTCAATATGTCTTGTCTTACTGTGGCCTTATTCGTCCTTACTCGTGTCGCAGCAATGCTTTGCATTAGTAAGTTTGCGAAAGTTGCGTAAGACTTAAACGTTTCCACGAATGAATAAGCACGGTGAAACTTGATAAGAAATATGGCAATTTTCACAGAATATATTTTAAACGTACGTAATCAATTGTCGTCGATCGTTTAACAGCAATGCGTATGTTATCTGTTGCAATACGTTATGTAAATAAAATTATGATCCCATTTTAATATAATTCTTAAAAATCTAAAAATTTTTTAAAAGCAGCCAACAAATCTCCATTTTGTATACCAGATTAGTAGTAAGATGTGAATCACTCTACCCGCTTACTTGCCAATTTTCAAATTATACACGTGAAAAGGTGATTCGCTTGTTTCTGCGATTATTTGATTTTACTCATATCGCGATCAGTTCCTCGAAGAAGATTAATTTCTCGTTCATTTTATCGATGTGACATTCCAAAACAAACTTCACTTCGTGAAATGCTTTACGAGCTTGTTTGTTCAATTATATTCATATACATTTTTACGTGTCATTGACTTGATAATGATACATACTTGTTCTTTTAAAAAATTGCATAACGTGGCGTGAGAATGTAAAACAATATGATGGAATATGTTCTGGAGAGATATCTTGACACTAAAATATACGTATATGACAATTGTAAAATACTCAAACAAATGTTCATGTGACATTAATGAATCATTAATTTTACATTTGTTAATAATAATCACAATGTTAAATATAATGAATTTCAATACTTGAAAAAACTAATAAATATTAATATTTTCCTACGCTATTATTCTCTTTTCTCGCAAATGCATAAAATTTTAAAATAACAAATTTATTAACACTATTAAAGTAAAATTTATACTATAAAGCATTTAATATTTTTAAAAAATTTTACATATATTTTGAAATCAAGAGATATTATATTACATAGTAAGCGAATTTTGTCGCAATATAGATAGCGTAAATCAATTTGCCAGCGCTATTAAATTTTAATGCACCTTTCTGTGTTAATTATAATGTATTACACTTAATTCTTTTTTACTATAGCTTAAAAAAAAGATATTATAAATAAAATATTATTCTAATATTAAAACAAAAATAATTACTAAGTAACGATTAAAACTAATCGTAAACTAAATGTTTTCTTTCGAATAAACATACCAAATATTATACATTAAATTATACACTGTCGGGCACATTTTGCAATACAGAATTGAAGATGTCAAAATAATAATTGATTTTCATGCTCACATTGACTTTCATGCAATTTTCTATGAGAAAGAAGACACTTAATAAAACACATTTCTTCATGATGATAACGTGACAAGAACATCTTTACAATGCAAATGTTCAGCGTTAACTGACCGAAAGAATCGAATGCTCTAATTGTAAGTGTCTGGCGCATGTAAAAACATAGACAGTTGGGAAAAGCAGACAGTAATGATAAAAATTATTTTTAGATCGTGTTGCAAGGCACGAATTATCTTCTTGTTTGAATTTTTCTATCATTGACTGTAAATGATAAAAATTCGTTCCTTAAATAGCAAATTTACATTGCAAAAAATAATGAAGCAGCGTCTGTATGTCTCGCACTATTTTCGTCCTTCTCGTCGTCGTCACGGTCGAGTAATAGCGTTTTCGAATAAACGGGGTTTGAACGATCTAGGGTTGATCAATCACTATTTTACTATAAATGCAAGTCTTTCATTGGTGGAGAGGTTGCAATGACGTCATTAACCAATCTTGGGTCGTTCAAATCCTGTATAATCGAAAACGCTATAAGTTTAATCGAACATTACTATACTATAGTACAAGCATCACCAAATTGTTATAAATTATGTATTTTTAAATACATCTTGTGAATTAGAAATATATTTACTGTAATAATTATATACTTTTCTTGAATTTCTAAATGCAGATATGCAAATTTTTTCCTCTAAAGAAATTTAAATGAAAAAAAAAAACATCTCTCTAACAAGAAAGAAAAAATCACGTAGAAGATAGCATACACTTTTTAAATCTTTGTCACATTTCCGAGAATGACGAACTGTACGTCAATGCTGTTTAAATAACAAATTCTCGGTTTCATGGAACGAGAAAGATATTAGCTAATATTGACTACATGTGTTAAAAGAGATGTGTCGCATACGGCTGCGTTAGTAATATTAGTATATGTAAATTTGAATTGAAATATTATTGTTTAGACTTCTTTAATTCTAAATAAAATTGGTTTTAATAAAATCAATAACAATCAAGAAACAACTGTTGTATGTATAATCTATTTTTTCTGCAATAAGATAAAATAAAAACAAATATAAAATACGAGTATAAAATATGTTATTCACATATGTGCATGTGCAAAGAAATATAATTATTATTTAATTGCAAACCAACAATAGATTTTTATAATCAACATTACGAAAAAATACAATGCATTGTCAAAAAATAAATAGTCAAATATGCAAATAATACATATTGTTCGTTAATTGATTTTCGACTAATTTAAATGTATGTTTGAACTGTATTATTATGTACTATTTAGAGTACATAATAGAATAGATTTTGTCTTATCTTTTTTATAAAAATAAAAACTAAATTCTACTATTATAATTTTATTCGACGTAAAAAAGTTAATATAAAATCAGACTGTACTTTTATAATCATTATCGTATTATCTATTACCTATGTAACATATGTATATATTTCTATGCATATAGAAAATAGAAATATTAGATTGTACAAAAAATACATATTTAAAATCATAGAAAAAATACTGTTAATCTTATCGTTGCCATGCGTGCGCTCTGTTGACCACCTAGTCACCAATATTTATAATACTAATTCAATAAGTTTCTCGATTTTGTAGAGTTTATTTAAAATTAATTTGTGACTTATTTTACAAATTATTTTTATTCTAAAACTCAGAAAAATAAACACATATATGAAATTTTAAAAACAGTTTTATAATGCTTTACTGATGCGCATTAAAAACATACAAAATTAATGATATTTATATAGCTATGCAGTGAATATCTCTCAAGAGACATAAAACTGATCATAAATGTCTGCAAGTGTTTCTTGGAAATAAGATAAGTAATAAGAGCAGATGCCGAATTCAAACAGAAGGGTCACGACAAGAGATATGTGTAGAGATATATACGATTGACCTTATTACTGAGAAATGCATCTCTTGTGAAATCCAAATCTCTTCTCGAACGAGATAAGTAATCAAAATTAATTTATGTACATTACTTTCAGTTGAAATAGTGTCTTTCTCTCTCTCTAGATGTTTTGACATCTAGAAAAACACGTACATATTTGTGCACTTTATCTTCATACGTAAAGATTTGTAAAAAGGTTTCTAATCAATCAATAATTAATAATACGTTTGTTTAAACTAAATATATTATTACGTCATGTGTCTTGTCTAATATTTATTCATTGTGTTTTATGTTTTAATATAAATCATTATTGATCCTCGTGACTAACGGGTTTGATACGAAATACGAGATCAGCTGCTTGTTAATCGATAAATTCGTTGTTTGAGAATGACTAAGTTTATTCCAACAAAAGATATAATCGTGGAAGTACACGTATATTATTTCGATTTATTTTAGATGTATGATTCATATTATATTAATTTATATGCAATGTAAAAAGATAATTTTTGAGGAAATTTAATACTGCAACTGTGTAATCGTATAATTAGTAATCAAATACAATATTAAAATCTCATTCTCGAAAATGTAATATCTGATAATATGAGCCAATATAAAAGCAATTTTCAAAATTTATGACAGCATTATTTATGTATTTATTTATTTACATAATTATATTAAATAAACTTTTTGAAAAAAATTTATTTTAATAATTAAAACTTTTTATAATTAATTAATTAAAAAAATAAAATAATTAAAATAAAAAAAAATAATTATACAACTATTGATAATATTTTCATATTTAAAAATTAAAAAATGTATGGAGAGGTATGTAAATTAAAACTACAATTAAGCTGAATACAATTATAAACATTTGGCTTAAATATTGAGGCTAAAGAAAACCAATAGGTTTCATTAACGTAATAATACTGTTTGTAAATTAAAATTAGATTATAAAGCTATTGAGAATATTACAGTTAAAATTCATAGCGCATGCGGATAGCACGACTCCGAAAACTAAACTGGTCATTATATAAATTTAAAAGGCGTTATGTACAAATCTGATGAATCCAACGAGCATAAAGAGAAAGAAGGAAGTAGATAAGTCGAAAAAATATCTTGTGACGAGCGCGTCACAGGCGAAGGTCGCCCATCGTTATATATAAGCCCGATGGAACGGATATCCATCAGATCAGCCTGAGTTGCCGAAGTGTAAAATACAATTTCAAAACTACAAACATGGCCCGTGCTATAATTCTCCTCCTTCTCATCGTAGCTGTCAGCAATATTAGTAAGTACAAAACAATAATAATAAATATTATTAAAATTTTATCTATGTTAAATATTGTCATAAAGTTTTACAAATAATCAATACAAAGAAAATTTTATGTCAAAAATTATTATGATACGACAGAGTAGCCTTCATAAGAGGAATTATAAGTTTAAATACTATGGCTATTATGTGAAAAACATAGTAAAAATTTTTATAATTCCTTCATGATCTGCGGCTACTGCAGTGCATAGTAATTTTTAATATAAAAATTTCTCCGTGTATATAATATAATTACAATAGAATAATAAACGTGTAAGAAAATTTTAAAGTGTTCTGTTGAGAAAAAACCGATTTGCAGAGAGCCAAATTTTTTTTAAAATTCTGTTGCACAAAGTGAATTTTTGTACAATATAAAAAGCTTAAATTGTAGAATTAATAAGAGTATCAGAATATTTTACATAATGATAATATCATTTGCAGCTTTGTTAAACAATAAATAAATAATTAATGCGTTTCTGCAGGTGCTGTGCCAACCTGTGGTGAAAATGAAATATACAACACTTGTGGTTCATCGTGTCCACTCACATGTCAACAACCAACTCCTTCCGTCTGTACGCTGGTCAGTATTTAATGACATATTAATACGATCGTTTTAACAATTTTGTGAAATATTTGAATAAAATCCTTTTAAATTTAACAGATTTGCTGATAAATGTAGAGAAATAGCTCTTATAAATGGCCAATAATTTTCCAATTTTACAATTATATATTTTGTAAAATTTAGATAAAGTTTTTATAAATATACATCAGTATAAAATGCGAAACTACAAAGTAATTTTGTCTACATAAAATCTAATGCACCTTATAACTTAAAATTGCATCATTTTGTTTTACAGGCATGTATTCGCGGATGTGATTGCGTGGAGGGATTTGTGAGAAATGCGCAAAGCAAATGCGTACTTGTGCAAAATTGTTGATTACTAAGCAAGCATGATTTTTAACAAAATAAATAATCAAATGAATGTAAAATGACATGGAAATCTGATGACATATGTGATTAACGTTTCTTCATTGACTAATAAGTTTGTTGTGTAGATTTTGTAGCAGTCACTAATCTAAATAGATATACATCATATATTGTATAATTACTGAGTTACTTATTTTGTTAAATGAATATTGCTTCATGTTTTTAATAAAAGATATTTAAATACATCAGAATGATTTATTATGTTCTGCAATTTTGTATATCTTCTATTCTATCTTGTTAATATAAATATTAGATATTTTCTTAATTATTATAATGACGTATTAAAATAACGTTTTAAGTAATAAATAATTCTAAAATCTAATAACTTTAATAATTTCATTTAATTCACTTAAATAAGTTTCAAACATCATTGTATTAAAAAATATTTTTTTGAAATCGATATAACATTTTTTCTCGATCGCAGCTGGCAGTTATCAAACACACACATTTTGTAAGCTAACGTATAATTTGAGGTTAATAATATTTACATAATTTCAAAGCAGTTACATTACGTAATACGTCCAAATAATGTAAATTTGTAATCGTTTTCGTATTCGTCATTTTTATCACGTGTCGCATTTGATAAAAGTAACGAATGCGAAACACGTAGTTTTTTAAGCAAATACAAGAAAGTGTTGTTATACCACAAAAAATATTTAAAAATACATTTGAACCAATAGAAATAATACTACTAAGAGAATAAAAGAACATGCAATAAATTTACAAATTAGATGAATTTTAATTATAATAATTTTTATTAAAATATATCTGTTGTCTTCCAAAAACACACAACAATATTAACACAAATAAAAAACAATAAAATACATCAATAATAGAATAAATCAAATATGAATAAGTGAATAAAGCATAGAGATATGTGAATAATAATTATATATAATAAATTCTAAGAATGTAAATTAAAACAATTGCCGAAACAAGTTTCCCTTCCAAAAGATTCGGCTGTGTGTTGTCGTCGTTTTCGAGAAAAATTCATCGTTTTGTTAACATTCTGGCGAGAGAACACAAAGGTTTATTAAATTTCTCTTATACCCTTGTAGGCACTGACAACGTTCAACGCAAACCTAAAATCGGAGCAACATGACAAATTAAAAAATAATTCAACGTAAAGCAATCTTTCATTCTAACGGAAAAGTACAAACAATAGAAAAGGAATAACATGACCATTTTAAAATACAATTATTGCAATATAATATATAATATAATTACTGTATACATACTAGAGGACATAACAACGGCGTTTCTTGACCGCACTTCTCTTCGCAAATTTCGGGTTTTGCGCAAATACTCCATTCCTCATTAGGACCGCATTGAGGTTTCAGAGCAAAGCCGTCTAAACAACATTATCAAATTATAAAAAACATACTTACTTTACACAGCATAATTTCTTTTTCATGTTGATGCTTTCAATGTGACTCAAAACTATCTCACTATTTTCGTTTCATCTTCAAAGTAAAATTAAATTTTCCGTGAAAAAAAATTTAACCACTTCCTTGTCAGATTATTTTATTAGAGTTAAAAAAATGTCAGGATTTTTTTTGTTATTAGTAATACTGTCCGAGTATATTCGGGTAAATTAAGGAAGTGGATACTTTGTATTCTTGACGGAAAAAAATACGAGTGAATTTAATGGAATAAAAAAAGTAAAAGTGTTATAAACTGATATGTGATTGAAATAAAATAGTTAGGTATCTAACTTACAGACGGTGTAGACTGCAACGATAAGAACGAGCAGGGCAACTAGGCGAGCCATTGTGGATTTTTTAAATGTAATTTGTGTCACTACGCAAATGCAACTGATAATATTAGATGCTTCGGAAGCTTTTATATAGAAGCATCGATTTGCGACTTTTATATATCAGGACAATCTCATCACAACAATCTCATCGCGACGATCTCATCGTAAGTACAAAGTTAAACAGAAAGATTTGTAGGGTGTTGAATGTCGTCGAGAGTATCAAACTTGACATTCGACTTTTCAAGGATTGGCATTGACTATTTAATTTATTTAAAATGGATACGAGTCAAACTTAGTACTCATAAAAACCTATTTTTGTAAAACATCGTGGTAAAATAATCAAAAACGTCTTAAAATCGTAAAATTATCAAAATTACAAGACAATGTTATCTTTCATTAGATATCAGTAGATTATGTTCATTGTTGACAGTTAATACACATCGATACAGTTTTGATGATATCAATAATATCTCACGAAAAATATGTATTTTGTTACACGCATATGATTATGGCGTGTAATACTGGTTACACATGCATACATCATTTTTTTATTAATACTGCTCTATCAACAGTTGCTATAAAATAAAAATAATAGTGTAATGTATGATAGAAAGCTTGTAGATAAGCAGAACGCTATAATCTCGGCTGATGCATTTTTATTGCATCAAAATCAAGCGTAATCTCCAGGAAAACGCATGTTAAAAATTATTGGTTTAAGAAGATAATTTCAAAAAATACGTTAACATGACAAAATTCGTAAAACGAATACAAATAATACATTCTGTACATAATAACATAAACACGATGTAATATAATAAAATCCATTATATAGATGCAATATACATACATATACGTATATATTCAGATCTATAAAATATTTCAAATATTCATATTATACATATTGTTTCATTTAAACAAGTTTTAAGCTCTTTTATGTTCAGATGGTGCTAACGGAATCGTTAATTTGTTTATTTACGGCAATCACATCTGTCGCGACAATCGCAGGTTAATGACGTATTAATTTACATACGTACTTTGTGTACGCATAACATGCTAACCCATTTTTGTGCATTAATCATATTTATATAGCCTCGAAACAACTGCTATATAATATTCCAAAAATAATACAAATTATTATATTTTTATTATTTTTATCTCATAAATTAATTATGTGTCTTGTCTTAGAAATAGCATATGTAAAAGTACAAGATATTTATAATTCAAATATGTTTAAAAACAATTAATTTTAGTGCAACACACACTTATAGCACGGAATTAATAAAAAATAGATTATAAGTGCAACATCACATTGGCAGTCCTTAATTTAATATAAGCCCCCGTCCTTAAAATCGTATTAGTCACATGACTAGATGTCTTTATTAGTTAAACATGTGGTTAATTTATTAGACGCCTTGTACCCTTGTCACACGATTCTCCTACTTCCCGAGCGACAGCTCAGAAAACTGAACCCCATCATAAAGCAATTTGTCATTAATAGAATTAAGCGACACATTATTACACGATTTGCACTCAGGTGGGAAACTTACGAACCTACGTCATTATTCCCACTTGATGCTTTAATAAATAATCCAATCTACGGGTTAATCCGCAACGGGAACTGACTCAATTTTATAGTAGCACATATCGCTGTAAGGACTCAAGTGTAACGAGATAGGCGTAAAATAATTTCTCGATGACGTATCTATTTAAAACTTAATTCAATAATTATAGCATCAATTAGCCATGATGTAACGAAAGTTTCGATAATATCATCAGCGTTCATTGTGAATTTCTAGAACGTGTATCAATTATTGTTTTAAGAAATGCATGCGCGTTATTTCAAACGGAACAAATATCTATTCGACGTATGATGAACAATGGCACGCAATATCCAATTCGTTCCTGCGGAGCAGATATTTGACATTCGACAAATACCGTGGATGATACGCGTGGCCGTCCCCATCAGCGACGTCTCAAACCGTAGTCGAGAACCCTCGGAGAGATCTGAATCGTCAGTTTTAGAGGGAGGCGGGTGGACGATCGAGAAGGATGAGGGGAGAGCGAAAGGAAATTCGAGGCATATTCGAGGCTGCCGCGTTTCCGGTCGGCTGCTTCAATATGCTGGACCGATAAAGCAGAATGTCGACCGGGCAGAGACAATACGGTATTCGAAGCGGATGGCGAAGGGAAAACGTTTCGCGTAGCAGGTCTGTTCTCGACGCGCAGTCACGTTCGCTGTGGATGTGAACAAGCTTTCAATCCAGGAGGCTCTGCTGCGGAAGGAAGATAATTTTCAAACTGCTCGCATGTAAATCGTACATACGATTCATTATCTTCCACTATAACGTCGTAATTATATTTTGAAAGAATCAGAGTGTAATCGCATTGTTATTTATTTGCGATTTACAAGATACAATTAGTGTAAACAGTAGTTTACATTATAGAAAAGCGTTATAATAAATCATAAGGTATAAGCATTACGTGGACCATATTTTATATTCATAATTTAGAGTGGAAATGTCTTATTCTTTAATCTGTATTTTGTCTTCCTTCTATGCAATTTTTTAAAAATTCTTGAATAAATTAAATAATTTGTCTTATACCGTTAAATGCGATACAATAGAAATAATCACATCAAATTGCAAACTAAAAAAATTTTAATTTCTGTCGACATGCAGTGCGGGGGAATTTTAAAGAAAATAAGACGCATCTTTGCTCTTTTCTCTGACAATGAGATGAAAAGCCTAGGGGACGTGATTTATCGTACTCGATCACCCCATTTCTCCATGAAGATTTAATCTACTCCGAGTATTGTAACCCAATCGAGGTCCACTGTGGATCAGAATTTACGTAAATCGAAAAGTTTCATAATGGAACTCACAAATCTCAGTGATTCGACCGTGTATCTTATGTCTAGACAATCTTACGTCTAGGATAGATGATTGTTCCGGCACACTGAGACCCAATTATCAAGGATTTTCAGAATACTCTGAGAAGATAGACGCGCAATCCATACTTTCCCATTGAATAAACAGTAAAAAAAACTTGTTAATAAAAAACAAGATAACAATTTGACAACAAGATATCATTAACGAATGATATCTTGATAATCAGACGAATCAAAGATTTTGAGTTTACACAGAGATAATATAACAAGTTCAGAGCGAGATATTAAAAATAAGATAAATCATAAATTATTTGTTAAAATCATCGATTTTTGTTGTTGAAATATACGCAAGAAGAGATTTCAAGGAAATAATAAAAATATCTAATAGAAAAAAAATAAATATCTACAATCCTAATAATTATAATAATTATTTAACATTAAATATGAGGACGTAGCTTAAGATCGACATTTAATTGCAATATTTGTAATTTAATACTTATAATTCTTATTAAAGGACTGTAGACTATAAAGATAATAATTATATCTCTAGAGAGTACAAAATTGTGACGAAAGGTACGCAAGTATAAATCTCGTTTACCTTTCGCCTTAGTTTAATTATCACGGTTCTCTGCCATAATTGTGTACACTTGTATTTGATTGAAAAGCGAAGTAATTACGCCTTGGCAGAGACGACCAAGCAAGCGTCAAAGTGAAGTGGCAAACCAGTCGGCAGGGATACTAATTGCACAATAAACGTTATTAATGTAGTCGCGAACACTGAACATCAATAGAAATTCATTAATAATTCATTAATAAAATTTATTAATAAGAATTTTTATCAGCAAAGGTCGATCAAGTAGAGTCACATAGTTAAAAAATGGTATTGCGAATTATCTACAGAGCTACGGAATTAAGTTACTTCAAAGTTCAAGTTATTTTTTAACAATCTATTTAGGTTTAGAAATATTTTTTAGACAAACAAGATTTTTTTACGCAGAGAATATTCAACTTCCGATATCTATTTGAATTAACTTGATTAACGATAAGATTATAAAGTGAGACTGATATTTTATACATTCCACCCAAAAAAATAATCTTTGTGATTATTAAAAATAAAAAATTGCAATACAGTTAACATCGAAATATAATTAATATAAAATATAAAATCACACGTTGATAAAAAAATAATAAAAACTTGCAATCTGCATTTATAACTTCAGTTCTGGCAATTATGCGCAAAACTCGTTTGCAATACTTTTTATTCGCGAATGAACAAGCTAAAAATATAAATAATATGTGGTAGAGCAACTATTAGAATATACATTTTATCGACGTTTTATCGGCATTTTATCGACATTGCAGACATAAAATTCCATAATAAAATTGGACCGTGACTTGGATCACGGATACTCACGCGCAGAAATTTATATCTCAATTAAAATGCGGCCCGTTCGCGCCATACAAATCAAGAGTAAATTTCGCGCTGAATTTCTCTCATATCTTCCATCATAATTTTTAAAATCCTAATTACATCAAGATCTTTTAAAGACGTCGATTCGATGAGAAAAAAAAGGCACGGTCGCGTAGATAGTGCACTTGCGATTCGTATACAAAGTAGATATCTTATCATTTAAAGTGCTTTATTGATGCACTCGATCAATAACGAAAAATATCGGCTAAGTGCTTTCGAAATATAAGATACATATTGATTTATTATCAAGGTGTGTATCAAGAATTAAAATAATAATGCTGCGCAGGAAAAAAGTATAAGGGGAAGAAAACTTTCACCAATAAATAATTTTATTGATGAGACTATCATCGTAGAACGCTAATTTATGTTATATGCGATAAAAAGAATATCACAACGTTACATACAAAATTTTCTATATACAAAATGCCATATGCAATTATATCAGGAACTTTTATTAATTCATTTCATTGTACGTAGTAACTTTCTTACTATTTCATTAGATTGCCGGTAGTCCAAATTTACTTGTTTGTTTGTATCTGCGATGATTTACTGTCTACTACATTATCTCTATCGCGGAAATGCCAATATTGCGTAATGGTCTATATCAATGCGTCATATACGTCGGATCGTTAAGTGTCTCTATTACGAGAAATCCTGGCTATTTAATCCCTGAGAAAACTTTGGAGTGGTCAGTGTACCCGGCGATAATGAAACTTTCCGCTCCATTTATACTAATGGAGTAGAAATTATACAGATTCTCTTCTGAACAGCAAGTTTCATGAAAAGCTTAATCAGAATTATTGCTGGAGAAAGCAAAACAATAGGAAAATCAGTATTCAATTCATTTTAAGCTTTTCTATCACAAATTACCGATCTAAAGCGGATCTAAGCGTTGATTTTGCAGTCAGTATTTATTAATCAATTCAGAGCTGCAATTTTATTTTACAAAATTGTTCAATATTTCAAATACATTTCAAGTAGCGTGTAGTTTCAACAATTTGTGTTGTCCAAACTCAATTGAAAAAACTAGCATGTACAATCGTTATTAGAGTTACAAAAGGAACAAGAATTTCAAAAGTACCGAAAGGAAATGCGAGGCTGAAAAGTTTGGGAACCCCTGGCCGAAATGATCGCCGGTCCGTCGCCGGAAACGCGCGGAATCAGCCACAACAAACGGACCTTCGCGCGAGACAATTTACTAGCGGTCCCGAAACGCCTACGACGCCGACGGATTCCTCTCCATTACGAAGATTGCGGTCGTTCTTACCCGACGCGGAGGAGGAAAGTTTCTCCGACCGAAATCTGCGGGCGTATCGGCGCGGCGGTGGAACGTATCTTTTCGCAAGCGTATCGGCGCGTATAGCAGCCAGTAAAACGCTTTACGAGCTTCCATTGGAAATTAATCGCAAGTAACCGAACGCGCACGCCTCCCGCGACGAAAGCTCGAGAAGGGACGCGAAGGGACGGCGAAGGGT